GGCCTGAACGACAACAAAAGGCAAAAATGCCTTGGCACGGAACGTGTTAAACGATGTCACAGGAAGTCGATGTTGACGGGGAAGAAGTTTGGCCAATCTAAAGTCACTCGAGAGTTCTTTCCCCTCTTTTCAACGCTTTGGCTCTCTTCGAGTCTCATCAAGCGCGATAAACGCGTAACTTCTGCATCTGTTATTGTTCTTGTACTCGTGTGAGATCGAGGTGGAAGACAATCTCTGGAAGTCAACTGCTCTAATCACCGTTGGATCTTCGTTCGAGACTACAAGAAATGACCAACGTTCGACGATACTCTGACTTGGCCAGAGATACAGGTCGCGAATTACGATCAGAAGCTCGTAATACGTCGGTGAAAGAGAGCGACACGGTGAGGTTGGTTTCACCGATGGTTTCACCGGTATCACTCGAGCTCGACAAAGGCGAAACATCAGCCTTACTTTTTAGGCGCGTCGATTAAAACGGAGGAAAGAAGAATGGTAAGACAACGAATCAGAAAACGAAGGGTTTTTCTTCTGGACGCTCTTAAAGGACGCTCTCTCTCTCTCTCTGTCTCTCTCTTTCGTTCACCGTAAGGGAATTTGTACGGAAAGCTGAAATTTTTCAACAGGGACCTCTAAAGCGGATGGGGTTCCGCATGGTCGCTCAGCTTGAACCGTCCACCGGCTGAATACTATCGTGACGTCACTCGCTACGGTCACTGCCTGAATTATTCAGTATTTCTTCGTTTCTACTTGTTGTACACACTGGCCTGCCTCTTTGTACCTGTAATAGTCGTCGCTGCTCAAACACGATAATAATGTACAGAGCGTCACGTAACCAATGGCAACAAACTACTGAGAAAGAGAGAGAGAGAGAGAGAGAGAGAGAGAGAGAGAGAGAGCATTGGCTCCTCGTCCGATGAAAAATTGTCTAAACTTCAAACTTATAAAATAAACTCGTACGACAATTCAGCTGACCTCTCGAAACGCGAGAGACCTCCATCTTGGTTTTTCTCAAAAAATGTGAAAGAATAAGAAAGAAAAGACATTGTTAAGACAATATTTATCGTACTTCACTAACGACGAGTTATCGATGATCGGAGTTGAAAATCTCTTTGACACGTTCCGTGCCATGTGTACCACCGGTGGTACACGTGGCCTGAAGATCAAGATTAACGTGTACCACCGGTGGTACACGATGTGATAGCTACTCTAAACAAGAGA